AATATGCTGTTTTTATCATGAGTCCAAACTCCGCAACTGTGACAGTGGGCATAATAGTATATGTGTGAATGTGCGGCCATGCTTCCGGTAAAAGAAAATTAGTGTCTGTTTGAAACCATAAACCTCTAAAGGGGTAGCTCTAACAGGTACCTACAGCAATGGCTGCATGCTCATACATATACATTCCGCTGCCCATTGGCTCACAGTGGTTTTACCATATTGAGACAAGACAAGCTCTCCTTGCGTAGCAAGACAAAACAACTACTGTCCGTGTGCAGGGCGCTGCCCTTTGATCCTTAGGGAATAAACTGGTCATACACCTCCTAACAAGGAGCATTTCCTTGTGGGTGTATCGGCACAAGGGGAGGGGGGAGGAGGGGGAGGGGGGGGGAGGGAGGGGGAGGGGGAGAGGGGGGAGAAGGGAGGGGGGGACCGAGGAGATTTTTTTTTGGTAAAAAAGTGCTCAAAAAATATCCTAGGCCCCAAACCCTAGGCCCTAAACACCAGGGCGGGCCCAAACCCTAGGCCCTAAAATATTCAAACCCTAGGCCCTAAACCCTAGGGCCCAAACCCTAGGCCCTAAACCCTAGGCCCTAAACCTGGGCCCAAAACCCTAAACCCTAAACCCGAATTTGCCCTTAAACGACTAAGGGTTGGCCCTTAAACGACTAAGGGTTGGCCCTTAAACGACCAAGGGTTTTTGCCAATCCCTTAATTACTTTAGTAACCCCAACCCTAAATGGATCCCGGCAGCCAAAGACGAGGCAGACGTCGATGTCACTGGGTCGGATGGCCATGCCTTCCTCGAGGCACTTGAAACCTGCCAGACCGCGGATGATATATGCGTCCAAACCTTTAAAGGGATCTATAAGGGTTCCTTTAAGGGTTCTTTAAAGGGATCTATTTAGGGTTCTACCTCCCTACCTGCCTGGGTGGTTGTCAAAATGAAGGGCTTATATGGGATCTACAAGGGTTCCCTTAAAGGGATCTATAAGGGGGCCATGCCGCGGCTGATGATATATGGCAGGTTCCGGAAATTAGGGGATACCTTATTTAGCGTCCTCATAATAAGGATCCTACTATTTGGGGTGCTATATTCGGGTCCCCTGTTTTCGGAAACTCCTATATTGATGTTCATGCCTTTGCTGACGAGCATCACAAATGTGGGGTGCTGCCGATGGCCATGACGATTGTGATGGGTATGATGATGATGACGACGATGATGATGATGACTGCATAGTCTTCTAGCTATGTCAATGTCATGATGATGGTGACGATGATGACGATGATGGTGAAGGGGAAGAAGATCATGGTGCTGATGATGCCAATGATGAAGATGAAGATGATGATGACGAGCGTGATGTTGGTGCTGGTGATAACGGTGGTGGCTATGATGGTCACGATGCCAGTGCTGCTGGCAACGGTAGTGGTGGTGAACGAGATAACAACGACGATGGGAGGAGGGCACAGGCGAGGACTGGAGCAACGACGACGATGACAACCATGGCCGTCGTTTTGCCGTTCTTACGAGCACTAAAGAACAAGCCGACGACAGCTGGATCCCATGCTCCACAAGTTTAAACCCTAAACCTTCTGCCTTCATTCACGACAGGCAGGTAGAGCATGTCGATGACCTCTTCCTTCCGGGGTCTTGTACATACAAGGTGTCGCGGAGGAGGTGCACTTTGCTTGATGTCCGACTATTGTGACTGTTGTTTCCAATTTCACAACTCTGCCTACCTTTGCTTAGTCGAGACTTCGAAGTACGTGGGTGAAGGGCTATATACTTGTACTGGAACATTGCTAGCAGCTAGCACTCAGAATGCCAATTGCACGGTTCGTGTGGTCAGTACTACCGGCACTCTTCATCACGTGGCATCACACTCCTAAGCCCGGAGAGAGGAACAACAGGGGGTGTGGTCGTTGGCGAGTGGCGGATGGGGGAGGGGGGGGCTGTTCTTCGAACAAGAACCCAAGGATGTGGAAGAAGAGCAATCCTCCCACCCACAACCCTAACCCCAAATGGAAGCTGGACCGAATAGCATAAATATTACCCTCGACCCGGAACCCCAAATCTTTGACCCTACAGACACTGAAAGCTTCAAAACCCTAAACGCCCAACATCTCTGCGCGAGCTTCCGAAGCCCTCCCCAAGCCTTAAAGCAGACATCGAAAGCATGAACCACACATCTATACTATACTATATACACTATACACTATACACTATACACTACACACTACACACTACACACTAGACACTGCACTCGACACACCATATACTATATACTATATCTCTTGCCGCTAGGGCTCAAGGCTTCATCATGTCTGCAGGCTCTTATGGGGTGTGACTTGATGTAGGAAGCTGATTAAGAGACCTTGGGCCTTTCTTAGGGTTCCTTATATGAACCCTACTATATTTGGGGTATTTTGGGGATATGCGCTCAGGGTTTCTTAATCAGGTTCCTACATCATTCTTCGGGAATTCGGGGGTCGGGAGGAGGTCGCAGTTCAACTGTCCTGGGTCATGGACTTCTGCTGCACCCCGATGTTTTTCCAGACCTGGTTTAGGGTTTAGAGCTTAAGGTTCAGGGCTTAAAGTTTAGGTTTTAGAGTTTAATTTAAAGGCTTGGGGTTAGCGCTTTCCAGGAACTGTGCAGTCCAGGAACAGTGCGCAGAAAACGCGTCGGGCATACTACGAGGGTCTTCATGGTTGGAAATAGGGTTGGGGGGCACTTTCATCGGTCACCCCAAGTTTCGGCATCAAGGAGGGTTTAGGGCTGACGGCTTAGGAATAGAAGTGGATTAGGGGCACTCGCAGTCGTCACTTGCATTGACATTCCGGCAAGCCCCATGAAACATGCCAGGTTTGGCAATGATCCCTGAAGAGGATGGGTACCCCCAACTTACCTGACCATCGCATGACAGCTGGAGCCTCACAATTTGCGTTTATTTATACTTGACGATAGAACCCTATTCTGTGTACCACCTTGTCTCAAGGGAAATCTATCCCAAAACCCTCGTCTAACTTAACCGGCTGAGCCTGCTGGATGATCGCTTCGGCATCTGGATCACGGCTATTTCGTCGCTTCTCATCGTACTTGTAGAAGCCCTGACATCACAATATAGCGTCTTATAGCCCACTATGGTACATGACAGTATACTATAGTACTGGCCCCATTACAGGACGCGTTTACCTCCCGACAGCTGCTCAATATTTAAAACGTTAGTATATCATACAAGTTTGTAGACTCTTATTAGTCTGTTACTTAGGTATGTTATCGAATCTTAAAGTGGGTTTTCGCATATTATAGTGCAGTCTGGCCCTAAACCCTAAACCTGGAACCCGATAGCTACCTTGAGAAGCTAGAGAAAACTACTTTGTGCTGAGATTGGGATAGTTATCTAAGTTAGGGTCTCTTTTTAGGGGTTCCTTAGAGGGATCTAAACGGTTTCTAGAGGGTTTCCATAAAGGGTACTATCTATAAGGGTAGTTCTCTAAATTAAAGTCCCTTTTTCGGTCCCGCAAATGGTACGGCACCCTCATAAACAGCATCCAAAAAGGGCACCCTAGCTTAGAGAACTACCAATTTCGTTCCTTGCCATTCTTCTGCCCGAAGCGCTCGGCTTTGTACCTGGGCAGCAGATTCCGCAATCAAATCTCCACTGGATTGGGAGATGACTGAGCAACTACGGCAATATGAGGGCCACAATTAGAATAGGGGGCTCGGGCAAATGACACTGCAATAAAAATCAGGGGCCCTGAAGAATCGTATTACTAGATATTCTGAGCCTTCGCCTAGCTTTTCGTCAACTCCCCCGTGCATTGAGGGAAGGTTACGGTTCAGGGTTTTGGGGTGTAGGGGTTGGGGTTTAGGTATTCATAAGGGTGGTTGTCAAAATTAGGATCCCTTTCTGGGTACCCTAAATAATAGGTGCCGTATTATAACAAGGACCCAAAAAGGGACCCTAAGTTTGACAACCACCCATAAGGGTTTAGACATGATGGGATTTACGCTTTAGGGGCCCTCTTGAGAAGCCTAGGGCTAGGGGGCTTCAAAAGGTGGGATGTAGGCAGGTGCCTGGAGGCCCCGGAAACTTAGTAAGTGTTCTTAAAGGGCTCCTTAAAGGGATCTAAAGGGATCTACAGGGTTTAGGGTTTAGGGCGGTCTACTTGGAGGATCGGGGGAGGTTATATAGGGGGTTTAGGGTTTAGGGTTCCTTGAAAGGGATCTATAAGGATGGAGGTTAGGGGATTTGGAGCTCCTTCCTTGGAGGCCCGGGGGACTCAGTAAGTAGGTTAAAAGTAGAGTTCTAAGTACCCTACATGGAGTCACACCAGTTATAACCCGACTTATAACCGACTTACTGAATCTCTTGGCCCTCCAAGTAGGATGATATTTGGGGATTACCCCCCCCCTTGCCTTCATCCCAAAAACCCAAACCCCTAAACCCGAAACCCTGAACATTTCGCGGCCCTTGAGAAGCCCTGATCTCAGGACGAAGCAGGGCATCAAAGACGTTCTTCTCGGGCTCCGCAATGCCCGCCCTGATAGCAAGCTGGGCTGACGACTATAGCGAAGCCCAGAAAGTTGGAACATGGGCGTAGGGTTACGAGTGTTGAAATCCCGGATAATTACCTAACCCGAAGGGTATGACGATGAGAATGTTCAAACTTTCTGGCTTCTACTATATACTGTCTTTATGAAATGTGGAGATCTGTGCAAGCACCCGGTGCCAGGTGTTTGTCTGCAGTGTTTCATGCGATGTATGCTGAAAGCGTAAGCACCGCGCGTAGTGAACAGTGGCCCCGATTTCCTGACAAACACATTACACAAAAAAACAGGGCCGTATTCATTAGACCAGGTTTTGGGCTACATTCTAGTAGTACACCGATCGAAAAAATCTCCAAGCAACGGTATTGCTAGTAAGTCAGGCTTTTGTAGTCTTCGGTCATGTCCGAGACTCTTAGTCATTGGTCAGAATGTCTGAAGCCGAGGGTCTTGGCGCGCTCGCGGCCAAAGAGATCGATCCCCACCAGGTCGTTCATCCGAGACGGGCCCATGCGCATGCCATATGCCTGCATGTGGCAGTGTCTTACTCAAAGGGTCATGGGACGTAGTAATTAGGGTCCTAATCGAATAAGTTACCTATACAATCATGATACTTACAACCCAGTTAAGATACTGACAACCTTACTTTGATTACTAAGTCCGCTGATGCTCCCAGTACACTCAAGTGACGTACGGAGCAGACGCGCTCCCTGTGTGAGAGTTGGGAGGTAACTGGGGTCACTTGGAGCATCCAGGGAATTAGCGGGTAAAGTCATAGGTACGCTGGTTGGGTACATAAGTAATTTATTGTAGCTGGCCGATGGCCCCATGTACAACCATAGTTTGCCAAGTCCCATGATCCTTTCTTAAGTGCCCTAAAACCCCTTACAGAACCGTGAGCAAACCCTTACATATCCCTTTAAGCCTCTAAGTAGGGAGGCCGGATTGAATCCGGTTTTCTCCTGCCCCTTTCTCTCCGAAAGCTGGATTCCAACGGGCTTCCGACTGCGATCCCCGAGAGTATCGAATACCAGTCAGGGTGTAAGGGTTTCAGGGTTTAATCTCTAGCCCCTAACCCTTTAGGCCTTTAGGAGTTTTGGGGGTTTCCGAGCTTTGTGTAAAGCTTCTTCTCTTACTGAAAACCTTACAACTCCCTGACGCGTTAAATCGTGCAAAGTCTGAATGCTACCTCAACCCCTAAAGCCCCAAAGCATACCTTCTTAAAGCCCTAAACCCTATACCCTATACCCTAAACCCTAAACCGAACTTAAGGATTTTCACAAGGAAACCTCTCTCGCCGTGCCCGCTGTGATCTGAGCCTCTGCCGCCTCGTCAATCTCGTGTGGCAACAGACCTAGCAGGGGTTCCAAGAGCTCTAGGACGTTAGTGGTAATAGTAGTAAGTGTAGTAGTAATAGTAGTAATAGTGGTAATAAAAGTAGTAATAGTAGAAATAGTATATAGTAATAGTAGTATTAGTACCATTGGTTTAGGGCTGTAGGGGCTTAGGGTTTCAGGGTGTAGGGCTTTAGGACTTTAAGGGCTTTAGGGCTTTATGCACACGATCCGGGCGAGGTGCACGAGGTTTAGGGCTTCTTAAGATTTAGGGCTTTAGGCGTTTAAGGTGTAACTAGGGCTTTAGAGCTTTAGGTCTGCGGGGGTTTAGGGGGCTTGGGGAATTAGGGTAAAGGGGTTTGGACTTCTATAGGGTTTCGGGTTTGGTTTAGGGCTTGAGGGTTTAGGGCTTTAGCGCGTAAGGCTTTAGAGGTTTAGGGTTTCAGGGTGTAGGGATTTAGGACTGTAAGCGTCTTCGTCTTTCAGGGTGCGGGTGTGTTTGTTGTTTTAGGGTTTTAAAACTTTAAGGGTTTACGGTTTATGGGTTGTAGGGCTTTAGGGTGAGAGGGTTGTTAAGATTCAGGGTTGAGGGTGCAGAGCTTGCGCTTCGGTGCTCTGCCCATTTGTCATTTCCGAAGAATGGCAAGTTCAGCTGCAGATGACTATGTGAGACGGTAGGCGGCGATTCTGCTGGTATCCTGGAATCTCTTGCCACCTTTAGGCCAAATCCTTTTGTCAGGCCGACGGAAAGCCCTAAACCCTAAACACAAACTCCTGAACCGCAAACTCCAAACTCTTCAACCCTGAAGCCCTAATGTCAAGGCACGGTTAGGGGGTCGCGCCTTTGTGAAGTAGATAACCAAATCCAGAGACGCCCATGACCTCGGGGCTTAGTGTTCAAAGTTTTCGTGTTTAAAAGCTCTAAGACTTAGGGTTTTGTACCTTATTTTGGGGTCCTTATATGAAGGATCCTACTATTTAGGGTACTATATTAATTTCGGAAACTCCCTTTTGGGTTTCGGGGTGTGCGGTTTGGGGTTGACGGTTTTGCTTTGAGAGATTGACCGGGTGTCAGGCATTCAGCCATGAGTGCTACGACGTGCTGGTGTGGCTCGGGACGACTCTATACTCATATTTGCATACTTAGAGGATGATGGGACTTAGTAAGTAGGTTATAACTGGGGCGAAAAGTCCCCTAAGTGTGGTTATCCTAATTGTAACCTACTTATAACCTTACTTACTAAGTCCCATGAGCCTTCAAATAGTCACATTTCCAGGATTCCATAACGTCGCAACCATGGTCCGATCCGGCCGTGCTGGACAAACTGAGCTTTGAAGCAAGGTTTTTGTCGTAATAACTGTTCCTTCAAGGAACAGGTCCCCAAAAAAGTAATAACGTAGATGGTACTCCAAGACCCAGCAAAAGTACTGCCAAGAAGGGGTCTTAAGATCAACTCCAGCAGAAATCAGTAAGGCTCTACCACCATGCTGAACCCAAAACCCTGAACCCTAGTCACGGTTTAGAGTTTAGGATTTAGACTTGGCCCGCAAAACCCAAACCCTGAACCCTGAGCCCTTCCCTTCAGACTCCTGAGCTTCTAGCAGCTGCAACCCGTCTTGGTGTTGTCTTCGTTAGCTACAGAAGTTTTTCCGTCTTGTCCCTCGACATTAGGGTTTGGTTTAACTAGGGTTTAAGGTGTTGGGCTTTGGGCTTAGGGTCTTGGGCGTTGGGTTGAGGGTGTTGGGCTTGGGGTTTAGGCTCTTGCCACTGGCGTTCCCCTTCCCTCAAAGGTGGGGGTGTTAAAAAATACGTACGTGCCCTACTGTAATTAAACTTCAAGTCCCTAAACCCTAAACTCTAAATCGAATCCTTGCTAGGACCGCTAGGAGGATCCTGTGGCCCAACTAGATTTTCTGAAACCGTGCCCTTGCTGTGGGGGCTTTGTCGCTGGATTGCGCGGGTGGGGATTACGGACCGTGACGTCCAAAACACAAGCACTGCCACAGCGCGCCTGTAGAAGTTCAAGCAAAAACTCAGTTTTGAACAAAAATTAAACTTCAAGTCCCTAAACCCTAAACCCTAATGTTTGAAGCCTGATTGCATAAGAGTAAGAACACGTGTGCAGTGCACGCCAAGAGGTCTCGGAAGCTGAGCCGAAGACTCGATTGGCAATGAAGCCACTGCAGTTCCCGACCAGGCACGTGACCTGGCTGGATTTCTAAATGTCGTACCGCGGCTTAGGGTTCCTTTCAGGGATCGATGAGAGTTTTATAAGGTCCTGATGTAAATTTCAGCAAGGTTTATAAGGATTCTATAGGGGATTAGGATTTAAGGATCATGGGACTTAGTAGATAGGGCTATTTAAGCTGTCTATACTTGTAATTTACTTGCGATCACCATGTATAGCCCCGATGAAGGTAGTCATAACCTTACTTACTACGTACGGCCCTCCCACAATAGAAAACCGAGAGTGAGAGAAATAAGAAAGCGGTCGGAAGAATTAGCACCAATAGCCCCTCATGGTTCCCAGATCATTAGTATACCATAGTGTGCCACAAAACCCCAAAACCCTAAACTCCTAAACCCTAAACCCGTTGAAGTTTTGAAGGCCCCAAGGCTGCCTCTCAATCATTCTATAATTCTGTGCTCAGAGAAGCCTACTCGCAAAAACCCAAACACCAAGCCCTAAACCTTCACGGAGGTTGTACAGATGTCGTCCTCAGTACCCTACCTGCACCCCGAAAGTAGGTGGAATGATAGCCCTTTATAGATGTTGGGCCAGTATTTGATATTGTCTTGTGGGTGTAGGTAAACCCTAATTCGATACCAGGCCTTCTTCAGCTTGGAGCCAAAGGCCATTGCGGTGGCGATGGTGTCCGGGGACTTGGCTCAGATTATGATTCTTAGTGCTTAAAGCTCTGGATTGAAGAATCTAAATGCGGTCCTTTTGTTTGAAACTTCTGATGCCAAACCGCAAACCCTAAGCCAACCACGCATCAGAGAACAAATGCCGCGCTCGTCCGTGGCTACATGCTTTCCAAGCAGCAGTGCGCGGTCCCCTCACGTTCCTGGTGTTTAGGGTTCTTTTTTTGTTTTTGTTTATGGGCTCTTTTCCTGATGTTCAGGGTTTAGGGTTTAGGGCTGATCCGGCAGCACAGAGCACCCATACCGGATGACTGGGTAATGATACTCTGGACGTCGTCTCATCCCATTATATCAGTCTTTACAAATAATGTCTACATATATATATATGTATGTCATATAATACACATGCACATGTATGTATAGATTTGGTGTATGTATGTATATAACGCAATTATACAGCAAATAGCTCTCAAAACACAATGGATCCCAGAGGCTCCACGTACCCATATACTAATTACTTAGGCCTTGAAGGGGTCGCTGTATAGGTACTTTAAGGCCTAAGTGCCTACTATATGTGGGTGGTTGTCAAAACTAGGGTCCCTGTTTGTGTCCTTATTATAGTACGGCACCTATTATTTAGGGTACCCAAAAGGGCCCATAATTTTGACAACCACCCATGTGTACATGGAGCCGTTGGGGATGCCGCCAAGCAGCTCAAGTAGGCGCATAACGTTTGCGGGGGAGAAGAAGTGGCCTTCGCAGAGAACCCAACACCCCTCAGACCAAGAATAATATCCCCTAAACCCTAAACCCTAAACCGGGGCCTTAAAAACTAGAATTTGGCTCCTTTAAGGGTACCTTCTAAAGGGGCCGATAAGGATTACTAAAAAGGGTATTATGGGGGGTTGAATATATGGGCCTTAGTAATTACAATAGAATGTTCGGGGTTATTATAGCATAATCATAATAAGGACCTTAAACAAAGAATATGCCGGTTTGGGTGGTTTCAGGGTTTATAAGATTTTTCGAGTTTATGGTTTTCGGGTTAAGGGTTTGGGGAGCATGATATTTTTTGTGAGCTATACTGTAGGAACCTGATTAAGAAACCTTGGGCCATATTTGGATTCCTTATATGAATCCTGCTATTTTGGGGTTATAGGCCCAGGGTTTCTTGACCAGGTTCCTACATTACCCGTAAAGTAACCCTCATAGTTTCATACTAGGAACTACACAGGGTCTATTCCCTAACGGCCCTAACTTTGGGATAATGGGCTCCAGCGACAGAGGGAAGCGAGGAATGCGCCGGAAGCTGAGCCCATGGCAGCCGATGACATCCTGCAACAAACGGCCGGCGCGCGCAGCACTCCAGTGGATGCAGGTGTAAGAACTTGCGTGCTTTATCCGTGCAAACAGACACATACATACATGCATACATACAGACAGACAGACTGACACAACAAATATGTACACATACGGCAATTAACATGCATGCAGTCCCTACATGATGTGCTTGCAGCCGACTGAGCTGTGAATGCGCGTCCTGGGGTCTCTTGGTGGCACCTGCAATCTCATCAATATTGAGGTAGCTGGTGTTGGAAGCCAAGACAGTGCCTGCGCCACATCACAGGAAGAGTGACTCGAATGCATCTGATCTCGCGGGCGCGCCTGGCTTGCAAACCTGGTCCAGCGTAGCGAAAATCTTCTTCTTCAGGTCCATGTTCTCGAACACTGCCTGGAAGATACTCTCTACTAAACCCCTATAATAGCCCTTATCGTAATCCTTATAGACCCTTCAAAAGGAACTCTTAAAGGAAGCCTATTCTAAATACTTAGGCCCCTATAGTAGTTACCGCGTAGCCAAGACAAGAAGAGCCATCGACAAACCCACCAGCGACCTCAGCTGCTTCTAGGGTGCATAGTACGCCTAAGTTCGAAACCCTAAATCCCAAACTCGAAACCCTGAACCCGAAATCCTAAACCCGACCCGAAACCCGGAACCCTAAACCCTAAACCTTCGAATTGCGCCTCCACCACGATGTCGCACTGCGAGAGCGAATCGTAGGAGGTGGAGGCGGTGATGTTGGCCAGGAGCTTGTCGACCTGCTCCTGTCCAGGGCGGCTTCTGCTGCAGGGTCTAGGGTTGCGGGAGGGACCCCAGAATCACGGGCACTCCGCTTGACTTACCTTTGGTTAGTAGGGAATGAAAGAATCGGGTACTATTATAACTACTATAACTACCATTCTTCCATTCCCTACTAACCAAAAGTAAGTTGAGCTCAGGAGTCTAAGTTTATCCCTCTGCCAAGGGCCGACCCTCGTCTCGCTACATAGAGCGGCCTTAAGAATTTCAGTAGGGTTTCATAAGGCTTGGAAGGCGGTTGTGTAGCGGCTCCTATATGGGTTTATGAAGGCTACATACTAGAGGCACCCGAACGAGTAGAATACTGCGCTGGGGTATGTCATCGTACAGATGCGCACGGACTATAAGGGAGTTTCCGAAAATTAGGGGCGCCGTACTTTGGTGTCCTTTTTAATAAGGATCCTACTGCTTTTTCGGGTACCATCTTAGGGTCCCCTATTTTTGGAAACTCCCATATAGTCATTCAAAACCTCCGCATTAGACTCGGAGCTCGTCCTGAGATTTGGACTTCCTTTCAACACTTCTGGCATAGTTCCGCTGGATCACCTGGGCCAGTTGGCGATCTTCTTGTGAAGAGCTACCCAGGCCTTCCAAAATCCATTAATCAAGGATTATGCCTTAAATTCTAGTAGGATCCCTCGTCATTATGATTTACGGTATACTCCTTAATTGGGGGATTTTGGAAGGTCTGGGTATGATATATTGCTCAGATGATCTCACATGATGAGAAAGCCTTGGCCCCTCACGCTCATGCCTCGCTCGAGGTTCTTCTGGTCGACATCCAAAAGCACTACCTCGGGCGAAAAACACCAAGGGTCAGATGGCTTCTCTAAGGTCACTCAATTGCATGCCAATGCCAACAAGCTGCGTTTTGAGCCATTCACCCCTAAATCGGAACCCGAAAGCCCGAACCACCAACACAGACAAACATGTCAAACACACATAAGGCCCGGAACTCTGAACGCTTAAAGGAACCCTTACCCTTCAAGAAGCGCACGACAGGCTGCCTTCATTCCAGCCTCCGCGCAGCACATGGCAATACCTCCACCCATGAGTCCAGCACCTGAAGCTCACGACATGGGTTCAGAGTACAGGAATACTTCGGACTTCGGATGAAGGCTTTATAGGGGCTTGGGTATAGGAAACAGGGTGTAGGGGTTACGAGTCAATGCTATGATGAGTTCATCGGGACATTTTGAGCTTCAACGAGTGTTATAAGGGTTGAAAAGGGTTACAATTAACAGTTCCTATGACGCTAGCATAGATGTTATATATATATATATATATATATATATGCTACCCCCCCTCAAGGATGGACCTTTTTCGTGTGTTTGAGAGCCGGATGCGACATAGTTGATATTGTATACTTTCAAGTCCTTCACTAAATACGCTTCGACTGCATCAAAGATTTCGCGGATCCTACATTCTGCATTTCCTTCATATACACCCTGAGTTTTTCCAGGCGACATACGTTCGCGTACGGCTTCTTTTTCGTGTTGCAAAAGAACGCAAGCTTGCATGCATGTTCTGTGTGTGTATGCAGCAGTATGGGCTCTGAAGTTAACACGCAACAGGAGAGCAAAGATAGATCATCCCATATAACATAGTATCACGACAAGTATAAATATGAAAAGGGGGCCCTATGTCTACACCTCCCATATATAAGACGCATCGAGATTATAGACAATGTCCGTGAGCACGAAATCTAGCGAACCTTTCAGGGTTCAGTACTTTATATTTCACCAATAAAGTATCCTTTAGATTACATTTTAGAATACTTTGCAAAATTCCACTCTCATAACCTTTATATCTTGTAGAAATCCATCTGAATATCCTGTCGCATACCGTATACAAGACCACCTATATATGATACACCCCGCACGCATTATACTACACATACCGTATAGGACACTCTATACAAGACACTATATAGAATATCTTATAGGATGTCCTGTAGAATACTTTCTCTATGTATCTTGAAACCTTTCATATGGAATGCACTGATATAGAATACCTTCATGCCTTATTGAATACCCTAGAGCCTCTAGAATACCTTATCATATACTTTCACTCACAGCCCGTATATCTTTTGAATGTCCAGAGTACCTTACAGAATACGACATAGAAAACCCTACAGAATACCTTATGGATGTACGCCTCATGGAAGACCGTCTGGAATACTCTATATAGAAGACCTTACAGAATGCCCCTATGGCCCTATATATGACAGTCCATGTATACAGTCAGTATGTATACCTTGAACACATATAACGCCGCACGCATTATATTACACATACCCTATAGGACACTCTATACAAGACGCTATATAGAATATCTTATAGGATGTCCTGTGGAATACTTTCTCTATGTATCTTGAAACCTTTCATATGGAATGCACTGATATAGAATACCCTCATGCGTTATTGAATACCCCAGAGCCTCTAGAATACCTTATCATATACTTTCAGTCATAGCCCGTATATCTTTTGAATATCCAGAGTGCCTTGCAGAATACGACATAGAGTACCTTACAAAATACTGTATGGAACACATGGTACCCTCTGTATGCCGTGTGCCTCATGGAAGACCGTCTGGAATACTCTATAGAAGACCTTACAGAATGCCCATATTGCCCTATACATGACAGTCCTTGTATACAGTATATATATATATATATACCCTGAACCCATATAACACTTAGTGGCTCAAAACCAAACTTTTCAACTTTTGGCCCCTAATACGGTAATCTTATTGCGAAAGTTTAAACTTTTTACACCCCCATAGGTATTTGGGAAGTAAGAATACTTATATATGACCTTTCAACGAACCCAAGATCTGAGAACCCCTCATAAAGAAGCAGCCTATTGGGTAAGGGATTTCTAGGAGTGATCCAGGAGTCGAAGAGAATAACCTAAAGAATACCACAAACCTCAAAGAATTTCGTGCAGGTGACCATAGGTAATACGTTATAGAATACCCCCTATATACCTCATATACACCTTCTTGAGTACCCTATAGCCGTATGTACGTAGGACCTTTAGGTCCTATTTGGCGTAGGGCTTGCTCTGTGTCTTAATATATACTGTGTGAATACGCAATTAAAAATTTAAAGAATTTAAAAAATTTAAAGGGAGTAAATCCTTTAAATTCTGAAATCGTCCGGAATTAAAAATTTAAAGAATTTAAAAAATTTAAAGGGGGTAAATCCTTTAAATTCTGAAATCGTCCGGAATTAAAAATTTAAAGAATTTAAAAAAATTAAAGGGGGTAAATCCTTTAAATTCTTTAAATTTTGAAATCGTCCGGAATTAAAAATTTAAAGAATTTAAAGAATTTAAAAAATTTAAATCTCCAGCTCCAGCCCCAGCCCCCCAGCCTTCGACCCCAGCCCACGGGATTAAATTTTTTAAATTCTTTAAATTCTTTAAATTCTGAAATCGTCCGGAATTAAAAATTTAAAGAATTTAAAAATTTAAAGGGGGTAAATCCTTTAAATTCTGAAATCGTCCGGAATTAAAAATTTAAAGAATTTAAAAAATTTAAAGGGGGTAAATCCTTTAAATTCTGAAATCGTCCGGAATTAAAAATTTAAAGAATTTAAAAATTTAAAGGAGGTAAATCCTTTAAATTCTTTAAATTCTGAAATCGTCCGGATTTCAAAATTTAAAGAATTTAAAGAATTTAAAGAATTTTAAAAATTTAAATGTCCAGCTCCAGCTCCAGCCCCAGCCCCCCAGCCTTTGACCCCAGCCCACGGGATTAAATTTTTAAAATTCTTTAAATTCTTTAAATTCTGAAATCGTCCGGAATTAAAAATTTAAAGAATTTAAAAAATTTAAAGGAGGTAAATCCTTTAAATTCTGAAATCGTCCGGAATTAAAAATTTAAAGAATTTAAAAAATTTAAAGGAGGTAAATCCTTTAAATTCTTTAAATTCTGAAATCGTCCGGAATTAAAAATTTAAAGAATTTAAAAAATTTAAAGGAAGTAAATCCTTTAAATTCTTTAAATTCTGAAATCGTCCGGAATTAAAAATTTAAAGAATTTAAAGAATTTAAAGAATTTTAAAAATTTAAATGTCCAGCTCCAGCTCCAGCCCCAGCCCCCCAGCCTTTGACCCCAGCCCACGGAATTAAATTTTTAAAATTCTTTAAATTCTTTAAATTCTGAAATTGTCCGGAATTAAAAATTTAAAGAATTTAAAAAATTTAAAGGAGGGAAATCCTTTAAATTCTGAAATCGTCCGGAATTAAAAATTTAAAGAATTTAAAAAATTTAAAGGAGGTAAATCCTTTAAATTCTGAAATCGTCCGGAATTATAAATTTAAAGAATTTAAAGAATTTTAAAAATTTAAATGTCCAGCTCCAGCTCCAGCCCCAGCCCCCCAGCCTCCGACCCCAGCCCACGGAATTAAATTTTTTAAATTCTTTAAATTCTTTAAATTCTGAAATCGTCCGGAATTAAAAATTTAAAGAATTTAAAAAAATTAAAGGGTGTAAATCCTTTAAATTCTTTAAATTTTGAAATCGTCCGGAAAAATTTAAAGAATTTAAAGAATTTAAAGAATTTTAAAAATTTAAATCTTCAGCTCCAGCCCCAGCCCCCCAGCCTCCGACCCCAGCCCCAGCCCCCAGCCTCCGACCCCAGCCCCAGCCCAGCCCCCGGCCAGGGCCTGCCCCCAACCCCAGCCCCAGCCTCAGGCCCAGCTTCAAGGCCCCGGCCCCACCCAGTCCTAGCCCCAGCCCCCAGCCCCCCCAAGGGGGCCTAGGGGCTGGGGCTAACGCCAGCACGAAAACACCCAACCCGGATGACTCCTTGCGGGAGACCTTGCAGCCACATGAGGATGCCTTAGGAGCTGGGGCGGGCTGGGGGTGGGATGGGGAGGAGTAGGTGGTGGGTGGTGGGTAGTGGGTAGTGGTGGCTGGCGGGTGCTGGGTAGTGGTGGGTGGTGGGTGGTGGGTGATGGGTGGTGTGGTGGGTGGTGTGTGGTGGGTGGTGTGTGGTGGTTGGTGGGTGGTGGGCGTGGCGGGTGAGGGGTGCCGGGTGGTGGATAATAGGTGGTGGGTGGTGGGTGGTGATGGGGTACAAGGCAAGGGGCTGAGATAGGGGGGTGGGTAGTGAGGTATGAAGGGGGAGGGTGGAGTGGGGGCAAGGGTGTATAATCCCTGCGAGCCGCGACCGAGCAGAAAGCCTGTAAATGCCGCGTTCAAAAAACGGCCAGGGATCCCACACATCTGCGGGCAAAATCTGGCGGAAGTGATCCGCCACCGAGCAAAAAGCCTGTAAATACCGCATTAAACAAAGGGCCAGGGATTTCACATATCTGTTGGCAAAATCTGACAGAAGTACCGATTGCTCACTTCCGCCAGATTTTGCCACCAGATATGTGAAATCCCTGGCCCTTTGTTTAATGCGGTATTTACAGGCTTTTTGCTCGGTGGCGGATCGCTTCCGCCAGATTTTGCCTGCAGATGTGTGGGATCCCTAGCCCTTGAAGTGGTGGGTGAGACACGGCGGTTTGGAGCCTGCTGTCTCTTCCCATCCGCGTTCAAAAAACGGCCAGGGATCCCACACATCTGCGGGCAAAATCTGGCGGAAGTGATCCGCCACCAAGCAAAAAGCCTGTAAATACCGCATTAAACAAAGGGCCAGGGATTTCACATATCTGTTGGCAAAATCTGACAGAAGTACCGATTGCTCACTTCCGCCAGATGTTGCCACCAGATATGTGAAATCCCTGGCCCTTTGTTTAATGCGGTATTTACAGGCTTTTTGCTCGGTGGCGGATCGCTTCCGCCAGATTTTGCCCGCAGATGTGTGGGATCCCTAGCCCTTGAAGCGGTGGGTGAGACACGGCGGTTTGGAGCCTGCTGTCTCTTCCCATCCGCGTTCAAAAAACGGCCAGGGATCCCACACATCTGCGGGCAAAATCTGGCGGAAGTGATCCGCCACCAAGCAAAAAGCCTGTAAATACCGCATTAAACAAAGGGCCAGGGATTTCACATATCTGTTGGCAAAATCTGACAGAAGTACCGATTGCTCACTTCCGCCAGATTTTGCCA